TCAGCCAGTCATTGGTAATTACTGACTATGTACCTGGCATTGCACCAGCACTGAAATCCATTCATGTTGCTCAGTCATGTGGCTGACAGAATGTATTTCTGGAAAGCAGCAGCATCCCATTTGTGGAAAATATGCACCAGTGTTGGATAGTAGGTGCATGAAACAGCTCAAAACAATGTATGGGTGCATTTGTTCTGTGCAATATAAAGAAATATGTTCAAGACTTGTGTCTTTTTTAATTCACATGGGAGCTTGAGGAGCCAACCTTTTCCTTAGTATAAATTATTGTCTTTGTGTGAAATTTGGCATTCTTGTATTTGTCTTGATGAGTGTAAAATGAAAGCCTTAGTAACATGTTTCTCTCTTCACCAATATTCAAGTTCTCTTCTGCCAAGTGGCTGTTAATAGGTAAATCTGCAATAACTGTCCAGCATTAATAATAGTAACCACAAGACAGCTGGATATTAAATTCATCTAGGAAAGGAAATCTGCTGCCCTCACCCAGTTTGGCTCCACATCCGCGACAATGTGGTTGACTCTTAACTGTCCTCTGAAAAGGCTGAACATTAATTCACTGTGAACAATGGGCAATAAATTCCTGCCTTTCTGGCACCTTCTATGAATGAATAAATGAAACATTTTGCCCTTTGAATGTCGGGAGAAGATGTTGGACATGACTCTTAGTGCAGGAGAGCAGAAACTGTTTTATAGAAGCACTGTTCGGTGAGTTGTTGCTGATGAGTTCTGACTGGTGGTAAGTGTTGGGGCCTTTCTACTTGCTCAACAAATAAGGTCATCAACATCAACTTCCTCATCAACGCCAAGATTGTTCCCAATGGTGTCTCCAAGCATCATCCACATAAATGTATCAAACGAGACAGTCTTGCTGGGTGGACTGCACTTCATGTGCACACACACACACAGACCAGCTGTCACTTGCTGTGCAAGGAACAAAGAGTTGGGGGGGCCATCATGTGGTCACGATGGCAGCTGCCAGGAAACCAGGAGCAGGCTCGCGAAATGTAATTCTAATGATCAAACAATGGTCGCATTTGAATAAAAGTGGAAGATCTTGTGATTTGTGAGAGCATTGGGTTATCTAAAGGAATCAGTGAGGAAATAGGATGGAAAGCCTGCAGCCTATGTGAATCAGAAACTGCTCTCCTCCTGCTCCTTATTACCAACGAACAATGTTCACTGTATAAGCATGTGAGCCACTGGAGATTGATTGATACCTCCTCTGACAGCTTCAAAGGGGCTCAAGGCAAACTTGAGAGCTGCAATGACTTTGACTGGAGCAGAGTATTCAGTGTTGCCTGTGGGTTGTGGGTTGTGCATCTAGTTGCAGATGTCAATGTAACGCAATGACAGTCACCCAAGAGAATTACATCCACCTTGTGTGCTGCTGTTCTAAGAATTGCAGTTATCCTGTCTAGGGCCTATATAGCCCAGTGGGAATGCCTCATTTCTCCCGTAGCTGACTGTTACCTGCTACTTCCTCCTGCTCTTTGTTTCATGGTACGCTGCCAGAGTTGAATTTCCAGAGGGATCTTTCCATAAAGAATGCATTATTGAAAGTCACTTTGTCAAGCCAAATAAAATAAAACAATCAAAAGTGGCCAAGTATTTCCCAAGCAGCTTAGTGAATCAAAGAATTATGTAATGGCTATATCACAGAAGGAGATTTTTCAGCCTGATGTGCCATACTAGCTCTCTGCCTGAGCAGCTCAGTCAATCCCACTCCCCATGACTTTGCACTTTTTTTTCCTCTGTACTTAATTATCAAATTTCCTTTTGAAAGTCGCAACTACCATGTCACACTCTCAGGCCGTGCCTTGCAGGTCCCAACAACTCATTGCATAAAAACATTTCTCAAGCTGCTTTTGGTTCGTTCGCTATAAATCACTGTCTTATAGTTCTCATCACGTTCCCTAGTGGGAACACTTTTTCCCTATCCATGTTATCAAAACCCTTCCTGAAAGTGGTGATCCCTTTACAAAAAGCAGATTTCTCCTGAATTACAGTAGGGCTCGCAGATGGGATGATGAACTGTTATTTGCAGAGTGTACAGAGTTGAAAACAACCCTGGAGTCCTGGAAATCTAAATTTAATCTTAATCTGCTCAAATTAATGAGTCTTCCGCCTGTTTCCGGTTGAAATTCCAGTGATAAACTGATGATTAATCTTTTTGCCTGCAAGATTAGTTCAACCTGCTCCTCCATTTCAGCTGAACATAGCAAAACAAAAATTGGCCGTAGTAAATTCACTGCCAGAAATAGAGAAATCAACTTACTTTGTAAAATATATCTTTCAGTACTTTTGCTTCAGCTGATAAACTGCATTTAGAGATTTACAATTTGGCTACTTCACCCACAGTGTTCAAGCAATCCCTCATCGACCAGTTGCATGTTTTTCAGGATTTATTTCTATTTAAATTCTTTATAGGGCGGGGGAAGATTTCAAGCCTTACTAGAGAATAGGTGTTTTTTTTTGGCTTGGCCCGTATTCTGCTTTGTTTCATTTGCCTTCTACCATTTTGCTTGTTTGTTCCTGGGCTGCACCATTGAATAAGATCATGGCTGAATCTCTAGATTGAAAAGTAAGATAAAACAAAGTGACTGAAAATTAGGTTAATAAACTGATCCCATATTTTTACACTGATGCAATTCTCATGTAGACAAGGGTAGCTCAAGGTGATGATCTGCTTCCATGTCAACCATATTTTAATTAGATGATCAAATTCCATAAAATTCTTCTCCAGTGATAAGAAAAAGGTCAATACTTTCTTCAGTTGGAGTATGACAAATCTTTAGAATTGTCTGCCCCAGAAGACTATCCAAGACTGAAATCAACAGATTTTTGGGAATCAAGGAATATGGAGATAGGTCAGGAAAGTGGACATCAACTAGAGATTCAGCCATGATCTTACTGAATGGTGGAGCAGGCACGAGGGGTGCCCCCCACTGTTATTTATTACTAGCTACTGCCTGTTGAGTCCTCCAGCAGTCTAGTGGATAAAGTCGCAGAATGATAGACTATAAAATTGAGCATAAAATGTCTACCAGGTGCTACAGTGATTTATGATTGTGCACTTCAGCGCTGCAAGATGTACTGCACAAACAGTTTTAGTTTCTTCCCCACTCCCTAAAAAATGAAAAAGACAGTTGTCAGCGAGTAGTAACCTATGGCTCTTGAAAGATTCTGGTTCAATTCTTGATGTCAGCTGAACCCAGTAGGATCCTTTGCTGACTGAAAATGACTTCAGCGAAGTAAGGGCATGACAGTTTTGAAACAGGAGATATCATCGAATCAAAAACTATAACAGCCCAGAAGAGACCTTTCAGCCCATCATGCCCATGATGGTTATCAAACAGAACTAATGTCCTCTACTAATAAAGGTAAGTATCCCTTATGACTTCTTAACCATGCTATCCATCTGTCCTGTCGCCTTCCAGAATCTATGTAAATGCACACTAAGGTCCCACTGATCCTCAGTACTATCTAGGGTCACGCCATTTATCATGTACTCCCTTGCCTTGTTAGCCAGCACCCTCTGCTTCCACAAAGTCAATTTTGGATTGAGTTTGTCCGGATCACAAGATATAAAAAGTATAAAATATCAGATTGACCCAATTTGTACTTCCATTAGCTTAAACAGAAATGAAAATGGGGAGAGATGACTAACACAAAACATTGGACCAGGAGTATGCGATTCTCTTGTGTCCATTGTGCTGTTTAATTAGATCATGTTTGATCTCAATGTTAACTCCATCTACCTATCTTTGTAGTGGAACCCAAAATAAACTTGCCTCAATCTTGATGTTAGTTGACTGAGCCTCAGCAGTTTGGAAAGGACGGTTGTTGTTATGCTTTGTGTGTGTGAAGAAGTGCCTCCTGATATCATCCCTAAAAAGCCTCACTCAAATTTTATGGTTATTTCTCCCTGTTCTGGGTTTCCCATCAGAGAAAATAGTTTCTCTTTTTCTGCACTGACAAACCCTTTAAATATCTTCAACACCTAAATCATTACACCACTTTCATCTGAAAAGGAATACTTGTTTCATTCATTAGAATAATTTAATCCTTCTGGTGAATCTCTACTCCAGGATCAACACTGTGTACAAGTTGAAGCCTTGAGAAATCCTTCCAAAAACTGGGGTCAACTTAAATTCCATACTGTAAAACGCAGACCACCAGAACTGGTTTAGCTGGTGGCCATTTTGAAATGTGAAAATAAGTAGGACACTGGTTTTTATTGAATGTATTAATTTGACAAGGATACCTTTAACCACAATCAAAATATCTCACAAAAAGTCAAATTCATTGCCTTTGGCATCAGATGCAAAGAGTTTATCAAGCTCAATATGAGTCTCATTCAGTCCAGTACAATTCTCATAACTCTGCTGTGTGTGTGTGTGTGTGTGTGTGTGTGTATCGTGACCCTTGATACCAGGAGGCAGAGGATAGGGAATGATAATCCAAAGTTAGAACTTCTCCCTGAATGTCAGATAATGTTCCCACATCTAACTGTTGTACAGTGAGTCTTTCTGAAAAGTGCATGGCTTTGAGCTTTGAAGAGGTCACAGCTATGAAGCTGTCCATGGTTGAATTAGCTGAGTGACACACCTTGCTGAGGCTCACACCATGAGAAATGGCCACTTGGGTAAAGCAGTAGAATGCGGTCGTATCATGTGGAATTGTACTCCAGTAAAAATCTTCACTTCCAGCACAGACAGAGACGTGGACTGCTCACATACACTGGTGCTTGTATTTGAGTAATTTAAGTGTTACAATGACAATTTACAGGCTTTGCATTGTTGATTGCACAGATTTCCAGTGTTCACCATCAATGTTCTTGATTCTCTAATTGCAGAGGGAAAAATTGAAAGCTGTCCTGAATGTTGTCGACACACAAAGATACACAGATTCTGTAATGTAGCCACACACTGTTTTGGCATTAAATCTAGTCATATGCTCTTTGTTTTTCATTTTCCTCCAAGGTCCTGGTCTATCTACTTGACAGAGTTCTTCCAGACAATTATTTTGCTAACAATCTCAGTGCTTTGACCGTTGATATTGCAGTCTTCCATGATCTGTTAAGAATTAAACTTCCTGAACTTTCACAACATCTGGACCGTCTTTGCACAGCAGCCAAAAAAGCCAATGATGGTAGGTTTCCAAATATAATACAGTATTGGTTGTGTACAATAAGCATTACCAGAATGGTTCATTGGATGTTTATATAAAGTATTGCCAATTTAACAACTGTTTCATTTGGCAAACTTTAAAGTATGATTACAGTGCAAGATTTTCAACTTAACATTTTTGTATTAACATCATCTTTGTTGTGTGTGTGCATGCACACTCACGCATGCTCATGTGTGTGGTGTATGTGTAGGTATCTGTGGTGTACATGTGTACGTGCAGCCATTGTGTGTGTGCATTTGTGTATGTGTGGCTATGTATCTGCATGTGTGTATACATGCTCTCACACGCACGTGTGAGTGTACATGTGTGATGTGTATATGTATCTGTGTGTGTGTATCTACGTGTGTATCTGTGTATGTGCATGTGTCTGTGCATATGTGTATCTGTGTGTGGATGTATATATCTTTGGGGGTGTGTGTGTGCATGTGTGAGCATGTGTGTGTATACATCTGTGTTTTTGTGTGCATATCAGCGGGCGTGTGTGTGTATACATGTGTGAATGTGTGCATGTCTGTGCATGTATGTATCTGTGTGTGCATTTGTGTGAATCTCTGTGTACCTGCATGTGTGCATCTGCATGTGTGTGCACCTGTGAGTGTGTATCTGTGTGTGTGTGTTGTGTGTTTCTGTGTGTGCATCTGCATGTGTTTGGTGGGGAGGGCAGTAGTGATGCCCTGCTCCATTCTATCCTGGGACCACTTCTACAGAGGCAGGATAGATAAGATGTGGAGTGTAGCCACATGACAAGAGCTTATTAAGGCCAATGGAGGACAGCCTTTAGGTTAGGCACCAGGGGAATGGCCTCCAGAAGGCAAACTGAAGAGATCAGCACTCCAAGTAGGTTTAGAGGCCCAATCTGCCTGCCAAAGAGATCCATTTCTGTACCACCCACCTGACAGCCTTGACTTGTCTATTTTTTCTTTTAAATTTTAAACAGTTTGTGAGAGACGGCCTGTACCTTGAGGTGTTCTCTCTCTTGGTTGTCCCTGGTGCTGCTCCTTTCAGCTAAAAGGTGTCTGATCGGTGCTCAAGATTTGAGAACCCATGTGTTGTCCATCATTGGAAGTGAGTGCTCCCTCTGGTTGTTATTTAGCTGCAGAAGAGAAGATCATAAAGACTAATTGTTCCTCAAATGATGCAGGAACCTAACAATGGAGTTCAGAAGCCCGCTGGAAAGTCCACAGGCTCTTAATCTCATGGTTGCAATGGTGGATTCCACAAGTTTTTGTACATTTTGGTTTAGTGATAGAGAATGAAAAAAATGAACACTAGCTCTCTGTCTGGTTTGCTATCTCATGCATATACTGTGAAGTTAACTGGAGGGAATATTGGATGAAGGTGAGGTTTGGCATCCATGTTATGCCCTCCATGTTATGAGTTGGGTAAAATGTTTTACCCAACTCCCTGTAGATTTACACATGAAGAATATCTATTTGGACACAATGATAGTGAACTCAACTTGAGTCAGCATTTTTCAGCAAGGGTAGGTAAAGTTTGTGAAGGGATTGGAACAAAGCATTTTGCCGAATTGTGATTGTGATTGTGATTGTGCTCAATCACAATGGCCTAATGGTATTATCGCTGAACTGTTAATCCAGAGACCCAGATAATGTTCTTGGGACCTGGGTTCAAATCCTGCCATGGCAAATGGTGGAATTTGAATTCAATAAACATCTGGAATTAAGAGTCTGATGATGACTGTGAATCCATTGCTGTTGTTAGAAAAACCCATCTGGTTCACTAATGTCCTTTAGGGAAGGAAACTGCCATCCTTACCTGGTCTGGCCTACATGTGACTCCAGACCCACTGCAATGTGGTTGACTCATAACTGCCCTCTGGGCAATTAGGGATGGGCATGGGGCAATATTTCAACACATCTAGACAATGCACATTCAGACCCATCAGCATTTTATGTTTTTCCCAGCATGATAATTTGCATGTCATCAGTTCTGCTGTGTATTATATCGTAAAACTGCTGTTAACCTTCATTTTTTGAAGGTGATGATTCTTCATGAGGTAGCCCCTTCTTGCAACAATGAACTCAATTATTCCTCTTTTTTTCACTTTTAGTCTCCACATTATGTTCCTCCTGCTTGTCCTGGATCTCGTTAATGAAGTCTTTAAAGTTATCTTACAGCAGTTTAGCCGTCTGAGGGCTTTTCCCTTCTCTTCCTGTGTATAAATATCAAGAACCTGTTCTGTGTCCCTGTGACAGCATGGTTCCAAAACAGCTGTCACTGAATGACTGATTGTGTGAGCTGCTTTTCAGAGATATGCTGTTTTATCTGCAATTTATAGAATTCCTGATTCAAGCAGAATATTTCTTGGTTAGTGAGCCGTGTGTTTACCAGGTTTCATTTGTGCTTGGATTCACTGTGGCAGGATGCCAACTGGCTGTGGTCTAATGGTTTGTTTATTGCTGTACAGAGACACTGCACTGGCGAGACTTCCATAAGTTATTGAAAGAAAAGAATTGACTTGTTTTCTGTCTTTTGACAGGCCATGTTTCAGACTTGTACCAATACTGCTGTTGGGCTGGACACTAAGATGCACAAAAGTGTCTGAGGGTGTAAAAGTAGAACTGCTATTTTTCCATTGTGATATAGCATTGCCATATAGACCACTGTATAGACCACCATATTAAATGCTTCACCAAAAGTATCTATAACACTTAGCGAAACAAACCATTAACAGTTAAATCAGAGCAGTGATAGTAGGAATTGCAGATGCTGGAGAATCTGAGATAACAAGGTGTAGAGCTGGATGAACACAGTAGTATCATAGGAGCAGGAAAGCTGACGTTTCGGGCCTGAAGGCTACATTATAATAGTAGCTACACTTCACAAATACTCCATTGGCTGTTAAGCACTTTGGGATGTCTGTTGGTCATGAAAGCTACTATGTTAATACAGTTGTTTCCTTTCAAAACTGACACATTTTTTGCCTGTCGAAATTATTTCAGAAATTAGAAGTACTGCATTTTTTCTAGGAACATAGGAACAGGAATAGGCCCTTCAGCCCCACACGCCTCCTTTGCCATTCAGTGTTTTTATGGCTGATCTGTAGCCTAACCCCATACACCTGCTTTTGGCTCATAACCTTTAATGCCTTTCCTTAACAAAAAAAAAAATCTCAGAATTAAAAGTAGCAACTGATCCACACCCACTGCTTTTTGGGAGGGAGTTCCAAACCTCTACCAGTTTTGTGTGTAGAAGTGCTACATAACATCTCTCCTGAATGGACTGGTCCTAATTTCTATGCTCTCCTTAGTTGTGGAAGCCCTAAGCAGTGAAAATAGTTTATCGTTATCTATCCAGTATTTTCCTGTTAATATTTTGAAGACTTCGATCAGACCACCCCTTAACCTTATAAAGTCTAGAGAAAACTTTATTTATGTAATCTTTTCTCATAACTTAACCCCTGAAGCATAGGTCTTGTAAACCTACATTGTACTCCATCAAAGGCCAGTTTATCCTTCCTGAGGTGTGGTTCCTAGATCTCTCACACTACTTCAAGTGGGTTCTCCCCATCAATTTTCCCTGTACTTATTTTCCTTACTAAAATCAATCCTTCTCAGCTGAGAATGTGCGTGAATGGGATTCCAGACGTGTTTGTTCTCATACCAGTTTACATTGCTACTTTGAGAGAAATGAAAGTGTAAGGAACGAGTTTACATTGCCCAAAGCCTTTGTGTAGTGAGAATCTTAACAGCTAATTTTTACGTTCCCAAATCCTTTTTCGTAGCAATGGGTAGGAAGGACTTAAACTTGCACTATTCAATTAATGCAGTGAATCATCTCAAAAAACATCACCAAGGGACAGGCTGATGTACTCGGGAGGATTTTGGGATTGAGCTTTGCTGAAAGGTGGTCAGTTTTGATGTTTCTAAAGTTGGAGAAAGATGCAACAAAATATAAACTGAGTTCCGAAGAAGAGTCATTTTGGACTTGAAATGTGAACTCTGAATCTTGCTCCATAGACGCTGCCAGACCTGCTGAGTTTCTCCAGCACTTTATGTTTATACTTCAGTTTTCCAGTATTCACAGTGTTTTGCTTTTGTTAAGATATAACATGATGGTAATAAACATAATCGCTCAACTACATGCTGTTACTGTTTGAAGAACTGTAACTTTGCTGGAAAATCCATTTCACATCATTGATGTTGTTTCCTAACAGGGAGATGCATTCTGCCACTTACCAGTGTCGTCACCATGCAGTGGTTTCTGACTCTCTTCACCTCCTGTCTTCCCAAAGACACCATCCTCCGGGTTTGGGATGCCATCTTGTTTGAAGGGTCAGAGGTGCTATTTCGAGTGGCTCTAGCATTATGGGCTCAACTAGGAGAGTGAGTAGTTGGCATTGTTTGCTTTTTCATAAATCCCTAAATTGGAGCAAGATGAAAATTTGGGAGGAAATGGTTAGGACAAGATCAACTGCCCTTTAGAGGACTGTGTGCATTTGTGGTCATCATGAAAAGAGAGAGCAGAGAAAATTTACATGGATGCTACTGGAAACATATGGGTGCACGTGTCAGGAAATGTTTGACAGGCTGGATCTGCTGTCTTGAAAGTGAAGGTTGAGGAGAGACCTAACAGATGTTTTTAAAATTACAAAAAGTTTTGAGAGCGTGGATACAGAGAGGGTGTTTCTGTTCTGGGGAATAACACAACTAGAGACCATCGTTGTAAGAGAATCACCAAGGACTCCAATACAAAGATCAGTGGAAACATCTTTACACAAAAAGTGGTGAGATTGTAGAACAAAGTGAACAGCATGGATGTGTTTAAGAGGAGACTATATAAGTGCATGTGGGAGAAGGGAATCAAGGATTACAATGACGGAGTCAGATGTGGAAATGTGGAAGATTTGAGTGTAACGTAAATACTGCACAAATTAGTTTGGCTGAACAGACTGTTTCTATACTGGGAATATTTTACCTACCCATGTTATAACTACTTCTTCCTATTTCGGCCTCCTTGCCCTTTTTGCCAGCAAGACCTGGTTTGCTGCTTCCTCTATATTTCCAGTCACCACTGCCCATAGAGGTAGAAGCTGCAGGATGGAATAGCTGTCCTTGCCCAATCACTTCAACTGTCTTGAAGTGCAAGATCTAGTGACTCACCAGAAATCATTGGAAAGTGTCTGTTGGGACATACTATAGCTGGCGAATAATAGGAATTCTATTTTAAGAACCCTAATAGAGAGACAGTTTCTGTATATTATAAATTCTTCACCCACTCCTATTGTTCCGTGCTTTGTAAGAATATTTGAAGGGGGAGCAATTTATTCACCAAAGTAACATTACTGTTAAGAGTATGTGTAAATGGAAAAGGTTGGAACATTCATTAGAGCTTTCAGAGTGCAAGTTCAAGATGCTAAGATTAGGGTTGCTAGGTAACCCAACCACCTAAGGCTGCCTCTGGTCACAAATCCCAGAAAAAATCAGAGGGCTGAATCATTTGCTGGGGGAGGCCGAACTCCCAATAAGGGGTGAAAGGGAGAACTTACCCATTTTGATGGCAGCACTGTGGCACAATGGTTAGCACTGCTGCCTCACAGCGCCAGCAACCCGGGTTTGATTCCAGCCTTGGGTGACTGTCTGTGGGGAGTTTGTACATTCTCCCCGTGTCTGTGTTGGTTTCCGCCAGGTAATCCGGTTTCCCGCCACACTTCAGAGATGTGCAGGTTAGATGGATTGCCCAAGCTAAATTGCTGCATGATATCCAGGAATGTGCAGGCTAGGTGGATTACTCATGCTAAATATGGGGTTTCGGAGATCGGGTAGGGGGCTGGGTCTCAGTGGGATTCTGTTTGGAAGGTCAGTGCAGACATGATGGGCCGAATGGCCTGCTTCCACACTGTAGGGATTCTATGGTTCTATGGTGGGGAGTAGGAACCTAGGGCAGCACATTACCAGTGGCGGCCAATAAACAGGCCACTTCTAAAACTCCCAGTTGGAGACAGTTACCCCAGACAGAGGGCAGCATGGGAAGTCTTAGTATTGCCAGCACTAATGGTGTTCCCTGCTGAAGGTGCAGTTCCTGAGAGAGAGTACCTCAGTGGCAAGCCCCAGACTGTGGTGATTAAAGTGTGAATGGGTGCTTTTGATGGTGGTGCTTTGGGTGCAGCAGCAATCACTGCTGCTGGAGGACCCCTTCTGATGCCCATTGGGGGAAGGTGGCTCAATTGGCTGCCCACCATCAATATTCCCACAGCTGGAGACGTGCTATAGACTCCCTTCCTGATGCCTTCCCACACCACCTGGCCAGCCTTCACAACTCTTGGCCCATCTCCAAATCAGTGGGAAAATTCAGTCCAAAATTCAAGCTAATGGTGAATGGTCATTTTCCAGAATGCATGCCATGGTTAATTTGATAGACGAGCCACAGAAATCCTAGGCAAGTCCTCTTTCCAATATTTCTGCTACTCTTTGGCAAATGTCACAATGGTAATCTGTAGAACTGATAGAGATTCACTCCCATTATCTTACATAAAATGCTTGACAAGACAAGAATTGCTTCTTTAACTAATCTAATCTTATTGGCCTGTCATTTCCAATAACTTGATTAACTTCACTATATCAGATTTTTAAGACTCTGTGCAGGATGATTTAACATTAATTTATTTTTTTAATCTCCATAGCATTGTGGGATTTGATAACATTAAATATTAAATTGCTATTTTAATATAATGCTGATAGTTATGAAATATCTTGTAGTCTTTAATACTTAGTATTCAGAGGATTGTGGTGGGAAGAAGATTACAGAATATGTTTTCTCATTCTTACTGATTGAAATGATTTCCTTGATACAGATAAATTCAAGATCAAATGAACATGTGGTTGCATATGATCTTCTTAAGGTGGATTCAGACTTTCCCAAAGCCTTTTCTCGTAAACAATTATTTCCTTGATTATGGGCAAACATAATGTTTCATCTAAATGTCATCTCTGTTTGGTAAGGGATATTAACTAGAAGCAGGGATAGGCCATTTGACCCTTCGAGCCTGCTTTGCTACTGAATAAAATCATGAATGATCTGATTGTGGCCTCAACTCAACGTTCTTGTCTGCCTTCAATAACCCTCGACAAATATGCCCTCCAATTTTTCTAATTTCCTTAAAGATCTGCGCATGGCAGTGATTTTCCAAAACTGGAAGTCACTGTGTTGGCACACTGATTGACATGTGCGGAACCTTGAGTCAGTTGTACAGCTTAGAAGGAACATTTTTCTCACCTCCCTTGTCAATCAAAAACCTCTCCAACTCAGCCTTCAGTATATTCAGTGACTTAGGCTGATTGCTATCTCGGGCAGGGGTTCCAAAAGTTCTGGTTGCTCTGAGAGAAGAAATTCTTCCTCATCTTTGTTTTAAGTTGGAGATGCTTTATCTCAACTGTGTCCCTAGTTCTGAGTTCGCTCAAGAGGGAAAACATCACCTCATCAATAGCCTGACAAGTCCCTTCAGAACCTTTTATGCTTCAACAGGATCACCTCTCATTCACATAAACTGCAGTGGTCATAGGCCTAACCTATTTAACCTTACCTCATAAATCAATTCCTTCATCACAGCATAGTGACCTTCTCCCAGTGCAAGTAAGGAAACCATAATTGGATGCAATATCCTAAGTGTATTCTCGCTAACGCCCTCTACAGTTGCATTAAGATTCGTGGCAAAATCCTGGAAAATATTAGCCATTTTCCTGAGTATGGGGTCTTCCTTTTGAAGAAAGCAGATACAGCTAGCGAAATTTGTCATCGTCTCCGGTATGCCAGCTAAGCCTTCGGCTAACTGAGGAAAAGAGGACCAGGATCTCAAATTTGAGACAAAGGCCCTTGGTAGCAGTGTTTGTCACGCTCCTACCCATTTTGGAGACTTGGACAATGTTCAGCAGCACCTCAAAGAACTGGAGAAGTATCACCAACAGTGCCTTCTCTACATCCAGTGGCAAGAAAGGCAGCCCCACCAGTATCCTGTCCCTAGACAATTTCCCTAGCATTAAGGCAATGATCACTCAAAACCAGCTTTGTTGGGTGAGACACACTATTTTTGTGCCTCATTTCAAACTCTTGATGCTGCTGCTGTACTATGAGCTTGGTTGTGGCAGGAGACACCCAGAAAGACAGCGAGAATATTTTAGGGTTGCCAAGAGGTCAAACATCCCTTCTAACACATGGGCAACCCAGACCTGTCATTGAGCAAAACGGAGAAGGCTCATTTCAGGAAGGCACAAGACACATCAGAAGATTTCATTAAGGACATGCAGAGGTGGTATTGAAGCATTGGACACAAACAGTTCACCTTCTTAACCCTTCAAGCATCAACTGTACATGGTAGAGCCTGCAGATCGGAACCATCTCAGAACTCATCAAACCCAAGTGGAAGCTTATTACCGTTGATCCAGAGAGACAGCCTAAGAAGAAGACAGTTGTAGCAAGACTATCCTCCACTCACTTGCATCCCCTTTTGCACAACAGAGAAACATTTCATTTGCCTTCCTGGTTTCTGTATTCTTACCTTTTGTGCTTCGTGTATGAGGGCACCCAGATCCCATTTTACTACAGCATTGTGCAATCCACTGTTCACCAGATGTAACATTGATACAGCTTGGCAGATAGTTCTACAGGTCACTTCTGTGTACGACGTTCTACTTATTACAATATTGGGACATGAAGGAATATTTCCTAATCATCTGAAATTAGCCACGTATCTCTGAAATGATTGTACATTATCTATACAGAAAAGTGACACAACATCATGCCAAACACTAGGAGCCCTTTCAATTTGTACATTTCTGCCACTGAATTCTGTTCACATTATGTGAGTCAGTCAATACCAATCACAGTTAGATTACATATGATTACTTTTTGTGGTAATTCTCTGAACTGTTAATAGCTAATTATACTGACACTATTTGGTTGATTTCAGTGTCATAACAATTTTTGTATGCTGGAAAATCCTAATTAACCACTTGGGCAAATTATCTTAATTTTATGGGCATCTAATTAGTGATGGAAACCATATGTAATTATAGCAAAAAATATCTTGCAAACAAGAAATTTGATTGTGTTGATTGTTGCAATGGAAATTATTGCAAGTGTTTGGGTGCAGATAAATTAAAATGGACACACCAGCTATTTTTCTGTAGAGTCATAGAATCCCTACAGTGTGGAAGCAGGCCATTTGGCCCATGAACCCCTCAAGAACTCAACAGAGGTAGAACGAGTTTGTTGGAGAGGAGAAAGATTTAAAAGGCACCTGAGGGGCAACTTTTTCACACAGAGGGTGGTTTGTATGTGGAATAAACTGCCAGAAAAAGTGGTAGATGCAGGTACAGTTATACCATTTAAAAGATGTTTGGATAGGTACACGAATAGCAAAGGTTTTGAGAGAAATGGGCCAAATACAGGCAAATGGGACTAGTTGAGTTTGGGAAACCTGGTCGGCATGGATGAGTTGGACTGAGGGTCTTTTTCCATGCTGTATGACTCTGTGGACTTGGGCAGCAGGTTAGCTCTGATGGCTAGCACATGATTCAGAATAACACCAGCAGCATTGGCTCAGTTCCTCCTCTGGCTAAGGATAGACTTGGGATCTGTTTCCTCATTCTGCTCCTGCAAGTGCAAGCTAATGGCAAACCACCATTGACAAAACTGGCATTGGATGAAGCATCAGCAGATGCCAGGCATGTGCCTTTGGGAGAGCACTTATTGAATGGGATGGTGAGCTCCTGAACAAAACCCTTTACAAACCAGGAAATCATTTTTCACGTTTGATTGGTAATGTTGAACTGGATTTGACCAGCTCTCTAGAGATGGGTGGGGTCTGTAAAATGATAAGGGAAGGGGAGTGTCTTGCCTTTTGCTTTCACAACGCCAATGGCAGGGAAGGTAGAGGATGGCAATCCTGTCCAAAGTCCAGTGTGTGATTTATGTAGTTGATCAGAGGCCTTTTCCTGCCACTGCTGGCATATTACCAGCCCTCTGCCCTGTAAGGGGATACCACCTGGAAAACTCTGGGATTTGAGTTATCAGCACTGATGCTCCCATGCCAATAGTCACCACACTGGAAACACTCCTCCTGGTTTCAAAAGCACCTAACTGGACTCACCCCTTTCTGGGATCTGGGTCTACTGACCCTGGCTAACTTCAGTAACCAGACTGCACACATTGGGAATACTACAATTGGAAGCAGTTGTGAAGATTTTGTGCATGGTGGGTTGTCTTTAAGGTGCACTCAGAGTAATTGTATTCCCTGCATGACCCTCTAATGCTGAATCCATCGCATGGGTTGCACGGAGCTGCTTTGACACATTGACAAATTGTCCAATTGGAAGCATTTGGAATATTGCATTCAATTCTGGTCTCCCTGCTATAGGAAGGATGTTGTGAAACTTGAAAGGACTCAGAAAAGATTTACAAGGATGTTGCCAGGATTGCAGGGTTTGAGCCATGGGGAGAGGCTGGATAGACAGGGGCTATTTTCCCTGGAGCATCAAAGGCTGCGGGGTGACAACATAGAGGTTTATAAAATCATGACAGGCATGAATAGTCAAAGTCTTTACCTCAGGGTAGCAGAGTCTAAAACTAGATGGCATTGGTTTAGGGTGATAGGGAAAGATTTAAAAGGGACCTAAAGGGCACCTTTTTCACACAGAGGGTGTATGGAATGAGCGTCTAGAGGAAGTGGTGGAGGCTGGTGCTATTACAATATTGGAAAGACATCTGGATGGGTATATGAATAGGAAGGGTTTAGAAGGATATGCTGGCAAATGGGACTAGATGTAATTAGGATACCTGGTTGACTTGGACAAGCTTCCATGCTGTACAACTCTATGACTCTATAATTCTTTGATATAAAAGGGTAAGTCCAGTTCCTGCATTATTTATTTTTGGGTCAACTGCATGAACTTTAAAAACATAGTGCCTGTAAAGAGTTACAAGTGACCATTGACTTTGACGGGCTTTCAGTGGGCAGAACTGTCCCGATAAAGGAACTCTGAATTTGTCACCTACAATTTCTTCATGCTGCATGAATGCATGGGTGTACCGTGTGGAAAGAATATTCTGTGTATTGCTGTAACATTTCTAATGCTTTATTCTTGTCAATCCTGAAAGGCATGTAGGGTTAATTTATCAGTGCTCTGGGTTCACCCCACAATGACTTGGAGGAGGTGGCCTTGTTCACATTAAACCCAGCATTATCTTTGCCCACTGAGTTGGAATGGCTGCGTTTTCTTATTATGGGTTGGTTTGTGTAAACGGCACGTTGATTTGTCACAGGTGGATCAAGAAGTGTCAAAGGCCCGATGAGATCACTAAATGTCTGAATCAGGAGATGATGGAGATTAACTTGACGGACTGCAGCAAACTGATGCAGGTAAGAATGTAAAACCCAAAAGTAATTTCCTTTGATGTGAGAAGTGGTAATCCCAGCGTATCTGATCTAATGATTTGCTGCTGCAAGTTAACTGTCACCATCTGAGACTCAGTACCATTCAGAAAGATTCTAGCCTGCTCAGTACTGATAAATGTCTGATTCAGAAGGCAGTGAATTCAATACTGTTCCAGAGATTTGAACCAGGTAATCTAGGATTCTCAACCCGGAGAATACAACAAGGCTTCAAGCAGTTTGCTAGATCAAATATAAATATAAAGTACAAATATAAAGTCATTTTTAAAATCCCATACAGAATTCTGCTGTATTATTCCTGACGTGCACTGAGAGCTCCATTCAAAACATTACACAGCCCCAGTAAAGGAAGAAGGATAAAGTGAAGGTGAAGATTTGAAAGTATATTTGTGCCACTGCCCCTGCTGTTGGCTGAGGAGAGCCCATGAGCCACATGTATTAGTGGTTGCAATTTCATTTCCCAGCAGTTTGTGTGTTTTGCAGGCTCCTGGCCGCCGTGATTAAATTGGGTAGAGTGAAGCAACAGGTTGGTGCGGTGCTTAATCCCATTTTGTGGGATAATGACCCGAAAACTAACGAAAGAGGTTTGGCCAATATTCAGTTAACTTCACCTTTCACCCCTGATGTGACTGACCACTGGTTACCCACGACAGTTGTCCACTCTACCTGGGGAGGCAGCTCAGGAAAACCTTGCAGCTTCTTTGTGAACTTGGGGCATGGTTTCCCTTCTTAATGGGCATCTTGTGGACCATTGAGGGATCTCCAGTGGCAAGGAACACCCCTTCTTGAAGGCCCCTCTACCCACATGAGTGCCCACACTTGCAAGGGCTCATACAGTTGGTCTTGGCAAATGCTGATCCCACTAAACTCCACTGTCCAGGCTTCAGTTGTACCTGGAGTGACTACAGCAGTTCCAGCATTGGCCAGCATTCCTGGTGGCGCTGCTGAGTCTGCTGTTGTCACTCTGATTCGGCTGCTGCTCCTGGAGGTGGGGCATCCTGCCTTCAAAGGGAAGATGCCATGACTGTTGATACTTTCATTTTGGAAAGCTGGGTGTTAATTTTCCTCAGAAGTGATTTGTATAAAGACATGCCTCCTGTGACGAAAGTGGAATTTCCAAACCCCATTACAATTGAATTATGTCTAATTAACAGCAACTGAGATCCCACGTAATGTCTGTATTAAATGTGACTCTTAGGGTTTGAAATATGTTGCTGGAAACAAAACAATTGCTTAAGTAGAGGTCAAGTACAGTCTTGCTGGCACATTGCAACTCTTCACAATGCTGGCAGAACCCAACCAAACATAATGTAGTAATCCAGTATTGGATTTATGTCCTGACGACTGGAACCACTAAAAATCTCTGTTACGTTTTGCACATCAGCATTGACCTGATTGTTTCACAGAAATCAAAAGCCATTGTGCTGTCTGTTTACAAACCATCTCATTGTGGGCAAGACAGAACAGGAGTGTTCCTTTTGGTCACTGGTGAAAATGATACAAATGTTGGTCTCAGTTCCGCACTGCAGGCAAAACATTCCTCAGGAAATGGACTGACTCATGAGGTAGCAGAACTGTTTGTCAAAAGGATATTTTGCTTCAAGCACGCTTGAATAAGTTGTTTCCTAAATTGCTTTCACAGACAGCTTGTATCAGGGAGTGGCTGCAGTTGTTAGCAACAATTTATCTAGAATCAATAAAAAGTGAAAATCTATGTCTGGTTCAAGCAGCACCAACTAAAGAGCTGCCAAATGTGGGACAGCTTTAATTGTCATTATGATTTAATAAAGGGCAATGTACACTTTTGTGTGATATTCCTATTCCACTGTGAAATGACTTAGATCTGTACAACTTACCTGCAACCCTACCCAGCAGTTAATCACTGTGTCTGGCCACTAAAGAGAGAGAGAGATGGAGCAAATTGCATCCAAGAGGATGGAGAGAGAAAAATGCAAGAAAAACATTGACTGATCGCAAGGCTGACAGGACTGAACTTCAGTTTGGCACAAGGGTATTTCTCCAAAAGCCATAGTATCAGGGACCAGAATAAGATACAGGATGTGTGGGGTCCTGAACCCCACAGTGTCAGCAAGGCAGGACAGAGAGGGCTACATTTGTATTGTTCAACCAAAAGCCGGGGGCGGGGGCATCCTCATGAAAGGGTTCATAAAGGAAGGGGAGTTTCTTGATGCCAGACTTCTGGAGGATATGTGGAACCTGGCATCTCACTCAGCGATGTTGCAGAACCTGAAAGGGTCAGTGTGTGATGACCCCAGTGAAGTGGAGACAGATAGTGGTAAGGAATCTTGGAGTGATCCCAGAGTTTTGTAAATCCAGGGGGTGCATCCAGTGTGGGGAGGCCTACTGCCACCCTGGCAAATGTGCAGAGATGATCTGCCAGGAGGCAGGAAATGAAGCAACAAGCGTCGCCAATCACATGACTCTTAGAGACCTGCCTGATCCTGGCCTCAAATGTTGGTGATGCCATACCACCTGGATCCCTTGGAATGTGCCAGTAGGATAAGAGAAGGTCCTCTCAAACAAATGCTGGAAACCTCAAAAACCTCAAAACTTCAACACTTTGCCCAGTTTGGTGATGCAGGAAGCAAATGCAGCCACCAATGTGGACTTGCACATTCTAGCCCTCATGCACATTTGAACCTATTAATCATTTTGAAGCTGCTTGTCTGGCTGGCAAGGGTCAAGCAGGGAAGTGTGTACTGGAACTTCCAATACCTGGTGGGATGGTGGTGGAATCTCTTCTTCCATCTTTTTAAGAACAGTATTGACGAAGACAGATAATCCTAGGAAAACTCATCAGCTCTGGAGCATCTGTAGAGAGAAAACAGAGTTAACATTTTGGGTCCAGTCACCCTTCTCCAGATCTTCTTAGTTTTCCCAGCAATTTCTGCTTTCATTTCTGATTTCCAGCATCCACAGTTCCCTGTTTTATTTTGTTTAATATTGGCAAAGGCCTGTGAGCTGATCTGCTTAGCGAAGGAATGGTTTCTGATGTTGGGATACCTGGAAGAGTGAAGGAAATATTACGGCAGCCCATTCTAACCAATAAAGGCCTCCAGTTCACTTTATATAAACATATGAAATAGGAGCAGAATTGGCCTCTCGAATCTGCTCCACCATTCGATAAGATCATGGATGATCTGTTTCTGTTTCAAATTCCAAATTCCCACCTAAATCTGGGTAATTTTTCTTCTCCCTGATGGCTTGCGGTGCCTGTTGTTCAGGCTCCAGCTCATAAACTCTGAGCCGAAGCTGCTTAAACACAAATTCTTACTGCAGTCATGTTGTCATGGATCACAGTAGTATCTAGGAGCTCCCATATGCCACAGCCTTGGCATTTCCCAGCATGCTATTGTTAATTTGTTAGTGCTGAGGAAGGGTCACCAGACCCAAAACGTTAACACTGATTTTTTCTTCACAGATGCTGCCAGACCTGCTGAACCTTGCCAGCAACTTTGTTTTTGTTCCTGATTTACAGCATCCGCAGTTCTTTCGGTTTTTATTTGCCATTGTTAATCCTTTTCAGTTAGCTATTTAATTATATTATTCACTTACTTATGTTGCTATTTATATATTTTACATTTAATTTAAATCAGGGTGCAATCCCATCATTTTATTACCTGGGAACGAGGGACACCCAGTTTTAGTTTAATTACTTCAATCCCAAAGCCACAACTTGCTTTTTGGCCTAGGAGATGGTGTGCTTGCATATGGAAACCAGTCCTTCAGGTTGTTTCTGTTATTCCTGATCACTTGGAAGCCACCAACGAGCAGGCAGCCAGCAGGAAATGTAAATATTTCTCTGGCGAACTTTAAAGATAACCCGAAACAAAGTCTACAATGATTGACTTTGTCGTTGATCAAAAGAAAATACATTTTTATAGCCAGTGCTGTTCCCATATGAATGCCTAATATGGTCACGCTGATTTCTTTTTTGACAGGGATTAGTTTAGTTTGGGAAACTTGGTCGTCACAGACGAGTTGGACCGAAGGGTCTGTTTCTGTACTGTATTGCTTGCATTTAAATAGCACCAACAGGATTTCATAAATGTACTTTATTTGCTGGTTCAGAAACATCACCAGTCAAATGATACAGCCACCCTGATGCGTAAAGTTTATAAACTGGAATTATCTTGTGGTTTGTACATGTAAAGGCATTGTTATGTATCTTGCAGACTGTGTATTCAATGGCAACTTTTCCCTTCCCACAAGTGGTTGAACTGAGAGAGAAGTATAGTCCTTCATCGTTTCAAGCAAAGGTTGCTGCCTCAAGGTATTTTTCCAACATGCTTAAAAATAGACACTTCTTCATTTCAAGTTCTTCCACTGTAATAATTTGATATGGCTCTTCGTTTGTTTTTGCTTAAAGCCATCACTTGAAGGAAGCTCAGTGCAAGGGAAAAGCATCAGATGAGAGTCATGGAACCTGCACTTTCATTTCTGCAGTGGGATTCCCTGGGATCCACAATCCAGCACACTGTCAGAAAACAGGTAAAAGACCAAGGCTATTCAGCCATGTGACTGAAGTAATCATAAGGAGAAGGTCTGAGGAGGACAAGAGAAAGGAATGAAGAGCGCAGAATGTCAGAATTAAAGATCAAGTAAAGAATGGGGAACACCTAGTGTCATTGTGGACGGCCAGTAATATCAGCGTTATTGGAAATGCTTTGGGAGTGAGTTACCTGAGCGAGGCAGTGTGAGAGTGTTGCATCAAAAATTAGGTCTTAAAAAAAACCAGAGTTAACTGTTTATATCGTATAATAAGTGATTGGGGATTGGTGGAAGTCAAATCATTGCTGAGAGTAGACTGGGGAGATGGAGAAAAGAACTCAAACTGGGCATGTTCAAGAAGAACAAGACCCTGGGTTAAATCAGACATCAGAATGTTGACTAGAGACAATTGCTCTGGCAGAGGAGCCTCCTCCTCCAGTAATAACACAGTGTGGAGCTGGAGGAACACAGCAAGCCAGGCAGCATCAGAGGAACAGGAAAGCTGACGTTTCAGTTTGGGACCCTTCTTCATCCTGTTCCATTGCTGTGGGTTTGGAGACACATATAGACCAGACCAGGTGAGGACAACTTTATCTAAAGTGCAGTGGCAAAGCAGGTTTTTTTTTTCAACATTTCAAAGTGAATACATAGTTGAAATAGGCTGGCTTTTAATTCCAGTTTTTTTTGATCAAATTCAAATTTTCCCATCTGCCACGGTGGGATTTGAACCCATGTCACCAGAACATTAGCTTGGGTTCTGGATCATTTGTGCAGAGACATTACCAATACACTGCCAGCTCCCCTACTGTGCACATTCCAATTAAATAATTACAGCAGCAACGTTTAAACTAAAGGTGATTTATTCTCACACATTTACCCCAAATTTAACACTATTTCACACACTGTCAGACACACAGATGAAGATAGTGTACTGTTACATTTTCTAATTATCACAGTCTCAAGTTTACCATCACCCAAATCCCACGAGGCCAGCCTGCAGGGTTTTTTTTTGGATTGTTTTGATGCTTCAAAGTTAAAGCAAAGATCTGTAGAGTGAAGAATTCTCAGCAGGTGGTGATGTTTCTTGTCGTGGTGTCTGGGAGATTGATTCTCAGGTGAACTTGAAGTTGGAACAGGTTGCATGAAATCCTTCTGTCTGTTGCAGTCATCCGCTTTCAAGATACACTGTTTACTACCTTGGCTCCTTGTTGGCTTGCAGCTAATTCAGGGTTGGGCTTATTGACCAGTGAACTGTTGGCTCGATCAATGTTTGGTGGAATTGTGAGCAGATTTTGCTGATTTTCGACAGCAGACAGAAAACATGGTTTTCTCCCTGTGTGAGTTTTCTCAAGCTCCAAGTCCCATCCAAATAAAGGGGAAGTATTCATATTGGTTTCAGCATCCTGTATTGTGTAACACCTTTGAGAATTTGTGATGTTAAGTGATTTGCTTTTTGAATGTCCTAATTCTATCAAAAATACTTCTAAATCAGTTCCGCACAGGCTGTTGATTTACACCAATCTGAATGTTATCTTTGTTTCGCCCTCTGACATGGTGATGGGTCCAGTTCCAATAAGAAGTCAGGTGATCTTGGGTGGCCATGTTTCTAAGTTTTGTGTTCAGCTTTAAATGTAACATTAACCTAAAGTTTATTATGGATTTACTTGCATCATACATAATACTAGCTGTTGGTTATGCATCTCTTTGAGAGAATTGGAAATTAAATGAAATGTTAAAAAACAGGGTCCACCTTGTCCACCTTAGATGTGCTACTTTAGACATGACCCTCCAATGCATAGAGCCTATCGTTATGATTGTCATGCTGCTGTATCTGACATGATCTTATGATACTGTTGGGTCAACCAAATCTGGTACGCTTTGTTTTCGTGCTATCAGATATTTTTGTCCCTTGTCCCTTTGCTGCTACCATATTTTTGGTGAAGGTTGTTGTATTTTAAATAAATCAGTTGAAGTTAATTAAACATTAACTAACTGGTTTTGTTGAGAGGTGTTGCTCGTTCTTGATATCTACTTGTAAGGCTCATCATCAGCAGATAAATGACTGTCGCTTTCACTCTTTAAAATTTGTGGCTCATTTCTGTTTTCTCTTTGAGCCAACCAAATCAGACTGAGGTTTGCATGTGCAACAAAGCTTGATGCTGTCAAGTTTTTTAAGTTTGAGGTATGACAGACATGTCCTGAATGCAAACATCTGACACACAAATGTTTTATATTTTACTATACTGATAATTTAATAAAAACCTGTATGTCCAGGGGGGAAAATAATAAGATAATTATTTTTGTATATTTTGCCCCCATGTCTTTCTCCAGCTCAAAATGAAAAGCGAAAAAGCAGCTGCAATTTGGGGAAGACTGTTCCAGCCACAACTGGTGATAGTGTATCACACCCTCAAGTAGCAGTGAACAGCACAGAGTACACAGCAACACGTACACCTGTGTTGAAGCAACACCACTCAAAAATGACCAAGAGACAGCAACAAAACCAGTACCTAACTCCCAGACATGGTAAGGTGTTATGTACATAGCGACTACAAATGGTTATAAAATGGTGTTGCAAATATGTAACCAAGATACCTGTATAGTCCGTACAATTGATACAATGGCATTGTGATTTGTCGTACTGGACTAGTAAACCAGAGGCTTGGACTAATGATCCAGAGGCGTGTGGTCACGGTATTTTAACTTAGATTGCTGTGCCCCTCTTGGACCAATACAGCACCCAAGCTAACCCGGTTAAAACTCCTTTAAGGAAAATAATCCTGCTCCCCCCATTAATTGCCCCCAGTGCTGGTGCCATTCTTGAGATGCATGAGCACTGCCTGGTTGTTATGACCTCAATCCTTTTTGGAAGAGCCAGAGCACAGAGACTGCTGTGGTGATGTACCTCTCAATGAAGCCACGACCATAACCCTATGAGCCCCAGGAAAGATCTGGCCCTGGTAATGTCCTTCAGCAGTGCTACCTCCTGCACTGCCTTCCTCCTTGCCTCATTTGTGCAGTGCTCCCCTGCTTGAGTGATCAAACCCAGAAATTTTACTTTGGTCTGACTTTCCTGGGATTCAATAAACCTAAAGAACTGCAGATGCTGTAAATCGGGAACAAAAACAGAAGTTACTGGAAACGCTCAGCAGGTCTGGCAGCATCTGTGAAGAAAAATCAGAGTTAACCTTTCGGGTCCAGTGACCCTTCCTCAGAACTGATGGTAGCTAGGTAAATGTCGGTTTATATGCAGAAGATAGAGTGAGGGGTTAGGGGGTAAGGAGTAAACAGGAGGTTGAGGATAGAGCCTAAAGAGGGAGAAGAACATTTGGACAGACAAAAGAGTTGATAATGACCTGGCTAGGAGGGTGAATAGCTGTTAATGGAGACTGTTAGTGGCTAACAGTGGGTGGTGTGTAATGGCAGGCTATGTGATAAGGTCTAGTCTGTGGGAATAGGGGTAAGGGCATGGAAGAGTTCAGGCTCTCAAATTATTGAACTCGATATTGAGACTAGAGGACTACAGGGCCCCCAAACGGAAAATGAGGTATTGCGCTTCCAGCTTGTTCTAAGCTTAGCTGGAACACTGCAGCAAGCCTGAGACAAGATGTTGGCCAGGGCATAGGGTGGTGTGTTAAAGTGGCAGACAACTGGAAGCTCAGGCTCTTTTTCGCTGGCAGAACGTAGATGTTCTGCAAAGTGGTCACACAGTCTGTGCTTTGTTCCCCCAGTGTAGAGGAGACCACATTGTGAGCAGCGAATGCAGTAGACTAGATTGTATAAAGTGTAAGTAAAATGCTGCTTCACCTGGAAGGTATGTTTGGGTCCTTGGATACTCCCTTGGTAAATGGGTAAGTATTACACCCTTGGCGGTAGCAGGGGAAGGTGCTGTGGGGCTCTGGGGCGGTGATGGGAATGAAGGAGGAGTGGACCAGGGTGTCTCAGAGGGAACGGTCCCTGCAGAAGGCAGACAAGGGAGGGGAGGGGAACATGTGCCTGGTGGTGACACCATGCTGGAGGTGGCTGAAATGGCATCTGATGATCTTCTGGATGTGGATATTGGTGGGGTGGTAGGTTACTGGACCCTGAACATTAACTCTGATTTTTCTTCACAGATACTGTCAGACCTGCTAAGCTTTTCCAACCAGTTCTGTTTTGTTTTTCCCTGGGATTCACCCTGAAGGTCCACCTCCTTCAGTAGACCTAACAGCTCCTGGGTATAATGGGTCATGTTCCTCTTCCCCTTTGTGAAAAGTGCAACAGATTGACTCCATGTTGGACTAGCTGGTGTGGCCTGCTAAATGCCTTGGCCATGCTCTGGTGGATAGTAAGCGTAGCTCTGGGGAGACAGTTCCATGTTCAAGTCAGTTCTGAAGAAGCGTTAACTCTGCTTTCTGTCCACAGGTTCCACTCTTGATCCAAGTATACTGTAGGCCTTTAAAGGTGAAATTATATATATACTGGTTCTCCGATTTAAAGGGAATTGACCAAATCCCATTTGAATTGTCTGGTATTGAAAACACGGTTATGAAAATGTAATGTCACTGGACTAGTAATTTTAAGACCAAGCTATTTTACATGTGGAATTTAAATTCAGTTATTGAAAAATTAGCAAGTGAAAGCTAATCTCAGTAAAGGTGACCGTGAAACCACTGTCAATTGTCACAACAACCCATCTGATTCACTAATGCCCTTTAGGCCTACATGTGACTCCAGGCCCACAGCAATGTGGTTGACTCTCAACTGCCACTGGACTGACCCAGAAAGCCACACAGTAGGGATTAAGGATGGACAGCAATGTCTGCATCCCATGAATAATAAAAACATAATCTCAGATAGTAACTAGTGACCAGTAACACTTGGTAGCTCATAAAATATGCAGCTTGGAAACAAGGGCTTTTGGCTTATCCTGGTGTTAATACCACCTGCCTCTCCTCTGTATCATTCCGGGTTCAACCTAACTATCCTATTAATTTATTTTAGACTTTTAAAGATTATATGTAGTCAATGTGGAAAGAATACGAGTTGAAAAATCGAATTAGAAATTGCATCTGAAAGAGCAATGTGTAACATATAAAATTTATTGCTGATTTTGCAGGTAACAATGAATCTTGCTCTCCTGGGACACCACTTCATTCCAAAAAGTCTAAAGTCATAAATCGATTCCTTGGTGGCAAAAAGCTAAAGAACAGCAGCAAAAGTAACCGAGTCCACCACACCCCAAATCCCAGGGCACCTCAGCCCATACAGAAAGAACAGAAAAATAAGATAACCGTCCCTTGGTGTTCTCAAAAAAGAGTCCCTCGCAATGTCTTGACCAGGAATCTGAAGGTTAAGTCAGGCTGCAGTGATACAGTAGGCCTGCTGGAAGACCAGACGGATAGCTCCAAGGCGGAAGTCGTCAAAGTTGATGATCCAGCCCATAGAATAACGGGAGAGAACAGGGAAGTTTCTCAGTTACATTGTGAAGCCAGAACGTATTTTAGTGAACATTTGGCCATCGAGTTGTGCAAAAAGGATGTCGACAATTTGGCCAGGGTTGAAAATTTATTCAAGACACTTCAAATAGGGGAGCCAAACCATTCTTTATTTGCAGCAGAATCCAGCAACCAGCTAGGGGTATGTGATTGTTGTGTGGACTTGAGAAAAGATCGGTTCAAAGCTAAGAATTTCACATTTCTGTCTGCTATCAAAGCAAATACCACAGACAATACTTTACTTGCGGATCTCTCTGGAAACTCTCTCAAAACACAAAATCTAGGTTTACGTGGATCTTGCAGCAACATCCAGATACTGCCATTCAATAAATGATTAAGAAAAGAAATGCTACTGCCTTGGTGAGGAAAGGGCATGGGTAAGAGGGAAAAGACGATAATTTTAGCATATTCCATAATAGCCCATTGGTCAACAAGCTCGTTACTAAATGTGAAGTATTTGCACAAATAGTTTAGTACAACTTGAATAATTTGCCACAAACCACTGGATTTTAATGACTAGTATGAGCTTAAAGTCCCATGTGTCAGAATCATCATTCACATTGCCTCTAAGTCATTTTATGGATGGTTAACATGTGTGCCCTTTGGAAATCTCTAATCTGAATGCACTGCTTGCATCTCCGCATTGGCAGCCTTAAAGGATTACACACTATGTAATTGCCACATTATTACATAAGCATGTCTAATATTGATAATTGTATGATTCTATCTATCAAAGTTAGCTTCATGATTAACATCAAGGTTGTAATATATTTTAACTTCCAACAACATTGTCAGTTAGTGGTTAAAATGTATTATTTTTTAAAATTATATGTTAAAATAATTTTTATATTAATCGCTTGCCATTTAAAACAAAAAGTGCCAAAAGAAATAACTTTTCACACAACCAGGTCAAACTCAGAAATATAGAGGAAACATTCTGATACCATTAACATAAAAGTGCTGAACTTACACAAGTTAAATAGCTGTAGGGCACTAGGTAATCTGTGTCAGTGTGGAGAGGAACTTTGATCAAGTATGGTGTTTTCAGAAGGGAACAATACTCGTTACAAAATCCTCTAACGCCTTCCTAATTTAAACATCTTGTTTTGTTTATTCTTTTAATAACACGCAGCATCTCTTTCTTGTTGTTCCTCATTTAATGGAAAAGCAGGATAAGTACATAGTTTCAAAGCTTGTTATATCAGTGGACATTCATTACAGAAGAAAACAATATGCCAGTTATTGAAAAGAAACCGACTGTTCCAGGCATAATGAGTAATATAAAAAATTGACTATTATTTTATTCTTATGTAGAAAACTATTCTTCACAATCTTGCATTTTACACCTCAAAATTCAGGTACGTTTAATTTGGATTATCTGATGATCACATTTAAATGCTCTATTCTTACATTCTTAGGTATTTACATTGTTCCATTCAAATGATTGGAGAATTCAGGAAGCATTGCATAAAAAGCACCTTTTATTTGTCTGAAATAGACTATATTCTGTTGTTAAATAAAAACTGAAAGAACTGTGGATGCTGTAAATCAGGAACAAAAACAGAAGTTGCTGAAAAAGCTCAGCAGGTCTGGCAGCATCTGTGAAGAAAACATCAGAGTTAACATTTCAGGTCCGGTGAGGAAGGGTCATTGGACCTGAAACGTTAACTCTGATTTTTCTACACTGATGCTGTCTGACCTGCTGAGCTTTTCCAGCAACTTCTGTTTTTGTTCCTATAATCTGTTGTTGCTGTCAATGACCAGAAACTGGAACTTTCATCAAACTTGCCAGACATGTCAACACCACAGTGTGATAGATCAAGAGAGGAATTTGTAAAAGTAAAAGAAATTTAGTATAGCAACAATATTGCAAATCACTGTTGGGGTTACTTTAAGTCAGCAATCTACAAGGCCATGAATTATTCTTGAGATTGACTACAAAGCAAAGTGAAGTCTGAAACAGCAACTTCAGAAACCAGCACATTTGCAGCAACTTTTGGTGTCAGGCAACTCATGCTTCAAGCAGAAAGCTGCACCAAAGCTGCATGTAAAGCACAGTCAGACAAGCAGCAAACAGTTTCACAGGTTTCAGGCAAGTTAAGGAAAGCTAAGGACTCCAGGAAACGCAAGACGGGCAACAAAGCATCTTCAGACGTGTCAAGATAACGTGCAGGTTGCATGTCTGGTTTCCTCTGCAGTCAGCTGACCAGTCTTGCACATGTACTTAAAGACTGTTAACAATCCCAAATTTTCAGAACCCTCATGAAATTGTGCCCAAGACTGTAATTGACCAAAAAATCAAGTCTTTTGCAACTAATTTGCAACAGTTGCAATATATGAGCCTTGCAAATAAGTGGATATCACTGACATATTTCTGGAATATGATGAGGGCAGAAAGGTCACAAGCTAGGAGTAATTGCAGTATCTTCTCTGATTGTAGCTGATTTGTCCTAAAACTTTATAACCAGCCACAAAAATGTGGGAAGAGCAAAAACAATTTGAAATCAATTCATTTTTATTCCAATTAGGATTTTAATAATCCAATCCAATGTATTGTAGTAAAAGCTCTATCAACTAATAAACAAGATTGAGAAGCTACACGTTACGTGTCTTAGCAACAGGAATTTAATGTAGTAACCACCATCTTGGTTACCTTCACATTGTACTTGATATGATTTCTACCTCAGGAACTTGGGTAATTTGAAACTTCCTATTTCCCCTTTAATAATTGCCCAGTATGAGTACATTGGAACAGGAGTAGGCCTTTCAGCCTGTCAAACCTGCTCCAACATTTAATACGATCTGACAGAACACTTTAGTGACTTTTTCCATCTCATACTTTTAACATTTACACCACTGGTAATCAGAAATCAACCTATACTTTAAATGTACTCACAGACTGAGCTTCCACAGCCCTCTGAGTAAACTAATTTCTCCTCTACTTAATCCTAAATGGCATCATCCTTATTTTTAAATTGTGCCTCCTGATCCTAGACTCCACAACCAGGAGAAACATCTTACCTGGATCTACCATGTCTATTCCTTTAAGAATTTTTAGGTCTTAATGAGATCACCTGTCATTCTTCATAACTCTAGCAAACACAATCCCAGTTTTCCCAATCTCTGTTCATAGGACAGCTCTGCCATCCCAGGAACAAGTCTGGTGATTCTTTATTGCTATCCATCTATGGCAATAATATCTTCCTTGAGATAAGGAGACCAAAACTGCACACAGTACTCCAAGTGTAGGTCTAACTAAGCTCCTACACAATTGAAGCAAGACTAGTGATAAAGGCTAATACTCCATTTGTCTCCCTAAGAACTTGCTGCACCTGCATTTTAGTCTTTAGTGACTTACTGACAAGCACACACAGATGCTTTTGTACCTCTGCACTTTCCAACCTTTCACCATTAAAGAAACATTCTGCATGTCTGTTCTTCTTGGGTAATCTCATATCTTTCACATCATATTCCATCTGCCATGTTCTTGCCCACTCACAAGCCTGTCCAGATCCTCCTGAAACCACTTTATATCTTCCTCACGTCACACATTCATGCTTAGTTTTGCATGATCTGCAAATTTGGAAATATCTCATTTGGTCCCTGTATCCATATCATGTCATAGAATCCCTGCAGCATGGGAGCAGGCTATTCGGCTCATCAAGTCTACACCAACCCTCTGGAAAGCATTCCACCCAGACCCACCCTATCCCTGTAACCCCATACTTCCATGGCCAATCAACCTAAACTGCACATCTTTGGACTGTGGGAGGAAACTGGAGCATCCAGAGGAAACTCATGCAGAAACAGGGAGAATGTGCAAACTCCATGCAGACAGTAGCCCAAGGCTGGAATTGAACCTGGGTCCTTGGCACTGTGAGGCAGTAGTTCTAACCACTGAGCCACCATGCTGAACTATCATGAACAGCTGGGGCTCAAGTGATAATCCTTGCGATACCCCGCCAGTGACAGCTGCTGATGTGAGAATGACCCGTTTATTCCCACTTTCTGTTTTCTGTTTGTTAGCCAAACACTAATCCATGCTAGTACCTCATGTACAATGTGGTTTGATTTGCTAACTATCACAAGCCTGTGTTGTACATTCCTGTACATCAAGATAAATATAACTAATATTTTCTGATGGCAACATATCAACTTAGAGCAACCATTGCACTTTTGTGACATTGTACACATAATTTGTAATGTTGTAGAGGCAAATCAGTTAGTGCATAGTTTGGAAAGGGGGATATTTACCAGAAAATTTCAGTATTATTCTGAATAGTATTCTGGGGTTTACATGGTCTTGCTTTATCTACTAAAAACACAGAAGTCACTTTGAGGAAATATTTTGTTTTTGTTGGTTTTTAAGAACAATTTACCTAATAGTTCAAGAGCTCCATGTTGCTACTGTAGCAATAAAAGCAGAAAATACTAGGAATCCTCAGCAGGATTTTTACCTCTCTCTACAGGTGCTGTAGACAGGTAAAATGTTAATATTTCAGGTCATTGACCTATCATCAGAATCCAGCAGAGTGCAGCATCTGCTATACTTTTGTATTAGCAGTTTTTATAGATTAGGAATCCAACTTAAAATTAGATGATGGAAGGACCCTTTAGCTGTTGTATCCTTGACAATTCTTGTCGACACAGCATTATCCACAGTAACTTTTATATCCATTCGTGCATTGTATCATTTAGCATTAAGAATAATAGCAATTTTTTTTTTCTAGAAAATCAGTCATTATATTTTTATTATGACTGATCTGTTCAATGGGAAAATACTGAATACCGGTTGATGGTTGATTTAGTGACTGTACAGACAATTTTCTTTTTTATATTTTCCGTTTTACTCTTCGACAATTTTAAAAAAAACTGTTTATTTTGTACTTGCCCAGATTTCTAACCGAAGATTGTTCAGTATGGACCAGAGCCCAGTCTCTGTGTCCTCACAGCCAAGAGGTCAACTGGGTTGTGTGTGAATGTTATCCTTTCATTCAGTGGCTGATGACTGAGAAATGAGGAGCCACCTGGTGCTTGGAGGAACTGCCACTGCCATCTGGAACTGGAGCAGCTGCATGGATGAGTCGCCTAAGTATAAGAGCACTACATTGCTGCAGGGTGCATCTGTTACTAAGGATGCATTGCTGCAAATGATCAGTAAAAAAAAAGACAGCATCTGCTACAAGAGACTCAGAGTAAGGGAAACAGCAGCTTATCGTACATATTTCGACTTTGACAGAGGAGCTACTGTGAGGAGCCCAGCCTGGGACACAGCAAACATATGGCTGTAGCATTTCTAGATATATTGTACAAGTATTGGAAACACTACTGTTT